AAGAGTGTCTGGTTGGAAGAATGGCACTTAAACCTACTGCTGCTGTGAAAGGTATACACAATTGATAATAGTGAGAGAAGTTATAATAGATATAATATTTTACCATTTGAAGCTGAGGAGTTGCCCTTGAAGCCAGTATGATCAGGTTTGAGTCTTCCAAGAAAAACACTCTACTTTAAAATGTACCAATATATTTATTTATTTATTTATTTATTATTCACATTTCTATCCCACCCTCCCCGGAGGCTCAGGGCGGCTTACAGGGCGTCTCGCCAGATAAAACAGTAAAACAATACTAAATAGTAAAATACATCACCATTAAACCAATTTTGGTGCTCCTCTCAGTCAATTTCCAAATTCCAAATTACACTTTCTAAAAGCAAGATGGCCACCCCCTACACCTCCCATTCTCACCCATAATGCAGCGATTATGGGGCATTGATGGAACGTGCCCCCTCCTGATGTCCATATATGGGGCGTTGATGGTAGACTAGTGCGTTGGTAGTGCACTAGTGATGGACTAGTGGTGGCGGCTCCTATTCAAAAGCCTGGCGGAAGAGCTCCGTCTTGCAGGCTCTCTGGAACTGTGCTAGGTCCCGCAGAGCCCTGATCTCCTCTGGGAGCTCATTCCACCAGATAGGAGCCGCCACCGAGAACGCCCTATTCCTGGTCATGGTAAGTCTGATAGCCCGGGGACCTGGAACATCCAATAGATGTTGGGTCCCCGACCATAGTGCCCTTGGGGGAACATGTGGGGCAAGGCGGTCCCTTAGGTAGACTGGTCCCTGACCATATAGGGCTTTAAAGGTAATGACCAGCACTTTGAAGCGAACCCGGTACGCTATTGGCAACCAGTGCAGCGCTTTCAGCCGGTTGGTATACTTTGTATCTGTGTAATATGTACCAGGCCCTGACTTGGATGGTCCAGGCTAGCCTGATCTCAGAAGCTAAGCAGGTCAGCCCTGATTACTATTTGTATGGGAGGCAAGCAAGGAAGTCCAGGGTTGCTATGCAGAGGTAGGCAATGGCAAACAATCTCTGTTCGTCTCTTGCCTTGAAAACCCCATGGAGGCTCCATAAGTTAGCTGTGACTTGATGGCCGATATGTAATCGACAGCAATAATTCTAGGGTCTTATTGCACAGTAACCAAGTATAGTTGTTATCCTGCCAGTCTGTGAAACCTGGATTTGCAAACACGTTTCTTTCATTTTTCACTTTATATTTTATGTTGTGTGCAAGGTATTGTAACTGTACACCTAAGCAGCAACTTAATGTGAGGTGAGGGGGACCACTCTGACACCTTCTATAAAACAACTAGGTTGCTTACTGCTTGGTAAAATTAAGCAGCATAATGATTCTGAACCTTTCAATACTCAGATATTATCCCCAAAATTCTCAACTAATGTCACAAAATAGATAAAGTCTTACTGGAAGCCGGGATCAGTTGTTAAAGCTCTTTCTGCAGTGAAACTGTGAGCAGGAAATGACAGCCAGTTTTGATAGGAAGCTCATTGGAATCTTTGACCAGATCTGCATGATAGATAAAACTCAGCCCTTCTAGACGGCAGATTCTCTCCTCCGTTGTTTATCATGGGCTGATGGAGAAATTGGCTGGCAAAAGTTTCTTACAATCCTGAGGCAGATTAAAATATTCAGGCTTTAAGAGAAGTTTCTGAGCCAAGTGATGTATTTTGAGTACTGAGAGTCTAGGAGCAGTCTGCGTATTTTAGGAGTTCGAGAGCTGAAGGAGCAGAATAATCCCAATTCTGTTTTTTGTAAGAGTGGTTTATGGCTTCTTTCCCTGGGATACCAATCTTACATCAAATAATTGAAGGGTTACATTAAGGTTTTCTCTTCTAACCGTTCCTCCAGTAAGATTTAGCTATCAGAATTCCGGTATCTTGTACTGAAGCAATAATCACTAAGAAGATCACATAGGATTTTGAACTCAAAGTTCTAGAGTCCTCCAGGATCTCCCTGGAGACCCTCAGGAGGAGGTCTGTGTAATGTAATGGATCTCCTTAGGAATGCTGGTCATAATGTGGACTATTCCTGTTCACAACAGAACCTGACAAGTGATGGTGATGGATTTCGGTCTCATGTGTCATGGTTTAATTTCTGATTCACTGGCTGATACTGAGCACAGAGGATTCTCCTTCATAATGGGACAGAGAATGATCCTGCAGAGTAGATTCCAGCTCAGCCTGAAGAGCAGCAATGGAAAGCAAATTCAAAGCAAGGGGGGAATAGTTCCAGAGAGATCCGAGGGCCATCGGGCATCGATTGGCTAAGGTGCCTGAAAAATCTTTTGATTGCTCTGGCATCTGATGAAAGATTAACAGCCCTGAAAAGAGAGAGAACTTCTGGATTAATCTTCATATGCTAGATTCATTATTTTTACGTTTTTGTATTTCCTGAAGAATCTCCTGTTTTTCAGATGTTTGTGTTTACATTTTACAGTCTGATGAGATGCAGAAGCAGACAATAGCAAACCACCTCTGAACATCTCTTGCCTTGAAAAGCCTATGGGGTTGCCATAAGTCACTGTGACTTGATGGCACTTTCCATCACATACATTTGATAGATATCTACCATTTTCTAGGATTATACCCGCACTCCATCTTTGGATGATTTGTCTGTGTCTTACCTGTTTGCTTTTTTAGCCCCCAGTCGTCATCGATTGGTGGGTCTGCAACTCTCACCTGCTCTGGATATGGGATGCCCTGGCGAGTGTGCATTATTTATTCAATTTATATCCTGCCGTACCCCAAAAAATGGTTCTCACAACATCAAAACAACAATAAAACAGTAAAACAATAAATAACAATAGCAGGTAAAAATCAGATCCTATGCCTTATAAAGTAATCCCAGAAGACTCCAGTGCCTAGATATCCAAAACAGTAGGGCACTGGAAGTAGGGCATGGAGTGTTTGAGCCCAATTATTGGATGTTTAAACAGGTTTCCCTGCCATTTTTAGAACAACTATCTCAGTCTTTGACTGCAGTAATGAAAAGTTGCAGTTGAGTTATTATGGGGAGCTAAGTGCTTTTATGTTATACTTTTGAGTATAGTAACACCTTTGTTTCCTCAAATTCACAATGCCGCCCAAAGACATAATCTTTTAGCAGGAACACTATAATTATTTTAATGAAGAAGCTATGCAAGGAGTAGTTCAGGGTATAGTCACATCCCAGACCTTACTGGCTTTACAGATAAGTTCTGTTTTTTTAAAAAATCTTGAGCAAGATTTAATTAATTTATTCTTTGTGAGCTTAAAGAAGGGTAGTGCACTGTGGGTGGGAAACAAACAGAAGTAGTGAAAAGGGAGCTACTATGGGGGCTTTCAGGGAAGGGGAAATAGTGAAGGAGGAGAAAATGAGATGCCCCCCACGAGACCTTGTAGATATCCTGCTTGTCTCTGTCTAAATGTGAGAAGCACATTTAGCTGTTCTAGAATTTTTATAAGCCACCTGTTGTAGTAACAAAGAAAACCCATGGTAATGGATTTATTGTTGCTTTGTGGCTGGTGTTAGTGGCATACTTGGATCTGAATTGTGTGAATATAACCAAGCAGAGTAATCCAGTATGGGGTGGAGCTGTAGTGATTAAATAGCAATCTTTTACCTTTAGCAAAACCGTTTTAAAATTATCACTGTTAGGTGGTTAAAATAAGTATTAAAGAACCAGGCATCCTAGACCAGTTTCAGATTCCATATGTGACTCATTCAGTTGCCATTGTCTGTGCTATAAGTGATTTGTAATCCAGTACTGCCTACTAATTATACAGTATAATCATTGACCCCCTCTCCACCAGAAATAAAAAAATTAGGACACAAAAATAGTACAAAGGTGACTTTGTACAGGTATATTTATAATACATGTATTGAGATGTGTCCCTAATGTTCTCCTAAGGCTAAAGGTAGGACAAGTCTCATTGGAAATTTGAGCCTGGTTATATACTATATGTTCATGACTTAAGTCCCCCCCCCCCGGTCTAGCTTCTTTAATCTTTTAGATAATTTTTAATCAGGGTGGGTTTCAACAATCGAACATGAGTTACCATTATTTAGCTTTTTAATACAGTTCTTTTACAACGTGGATATAAAGAAGGTAAAGAAATAATCAAACAGAGGTTATGGGATACCTCCTTACAAATAGACCATTCTTGAGTCTCTTACTCCCCCGTGATGGGAAGCAGATTACAAAATTTCACAACCCCTAATTATTTTTCCTCATTGGAATTCCCAAAGTACCAAAGAGCTTTCACCTTAGTTCAGCTTAATGTCCTCCCCTCTGTCCTACTTGAGGGGAGATACACTCCATATATATATACTGCCTCTGCCCACTCCAGTCAGGTTTGATAGAGACAATTGAGCTTGTTTTCCTACATTCCCATTCCTGTCGAAAGACTTGTGAAAAATATATTGCCACAATTATAGCACCATATCCGGGTAGAGCAACTTAATTTTATTCCACTTTTCTCCTAGCAGATTGTAAAGAAATTACTGCCTAGATGGCAAGATTTTGTGTTCAGGCTCTAATTATTTTTATTTATTTATTTATTTTATTCAATTTATACCCCGCCCTCCCCACCAAAGCAGGCTCAGGGTGGCTTACATAAAAATACATATATAAATACAATTAAAATAATTCATAAAACACCATAATAATTAGGCAGAGAAAAATCTCCAGCTTAACCTAACTTAACTCTAAAACATTTTACAAGTCTTAAAAGACTGTTTATTCAATATTTGCCCATTTTAGCTATGTATCTCTGGATGTAACCAATGTATATCCATTTTAATTAGTTTTAATTCTGATCTTGGATCGTTAAATAAATGAACAACTGAATAATATATGCATCTGATATGTGTATTTCAGCCATATATTAATTAGACCCTTGAGCCTGATGGTCGCCAGCCATTGTGTTAATGTAAGGTTTGTTTCCGATTTTGTCTGTAAGAGAAATCTGGATATTTAGTCTTAGAGCAGACTGAATATAAACACAATTATCCTCCACTAGCTGTCAGAAACCATTTCAAGAGGGAAGAAGGAGCTGCATAAAACCCCAGATGCCCCTCAAAATTCTGAGTGGCCTCCCCAAGATTTGTAGGTCACCTCCTCGGGGGCACATGACCCCTCTTAAAAACTGCTGTGATAGTTGGTATTTATTGTTTAGTAAAAACAGGCTGATACAGCTGAAGCTTAAAATGTAAATTGTTTATGCATGGTATACTGCTGATTAGCTGTAACACTGATTAGCTGTAAAAATTGTTACAGTTGACTTGGGGGATGTTAATTGTGTTAAAATATGGGGAACTATAGATATATTCAGTGAAACTAATTCTCGATCATGATAATTGCTTCTTCTTCTTCTTCTTCTTCTTCTTCTTCTTCTTCTTCTTCTTCTTCTTCTTTTTTTAAGTACTCGAAGGTACACATTTATTGTTTTCTTATATTCCTAAACATAAACAACTACAACAAACAACATATAAACCAAGAGACTTATTACAGTTTGTTACTACACCCAATCCATCGCTTCATTATTCTCTAACATTTGATAATATTGTCTAATTCCATTATTATATATTACTGTATACTCAAATATTATTTTTGCCATATCAGCTTAATCTTTAACTCCATTCACATTATACCAATCATATAGCCTCTTCCAGGTTTTTTGAAATGTCCATTTCTTTGTACCTCTCATTTCCATAGTTAGTTTGTCTATTTCCGCCACTTCTAAAAGTTTATTAATAACTTAGATTAGTTGCTGTTTCTTGATTCTTCCAATATTTGGCATATAATATCCTTGCTGCCGTTGACATGTATGCAAGTAGATATCTATCCGTTTCCTCAACTTCTTTCGGAAAAATATTTAACAATAACATTTGCTTCTTCAATTGCATTAATGCTTGCTTCAACTGTAATGTAGTCTGTGGATCCATCCTCTGGCCATCCAGTCTGGGCCATCAGATCTGCTTGTAATTAACAAGTTTTCTGCATATATCCCCTCCCAAGTGTCAGTGGCTTGCAAGCCTGTGAACCGGATCCATATGAAAGCTGCTTGGCATAGCTTTTCTTACAGAGCAAGTTGTCTATATGCACTGGGTCACCACCCCGTTGGGCAGTTTTTCTCTCTGTTACCACATATACCACACCACAGAGAGAAATCACTCCAGTCTCTACATTCAAGTGAGTTGCCCTGTTAGAAGCATTGCATCTTTTGTTTCCACCAGCTCTTTGGTTCATACAGTGGTTTCACATTCTCAATATTGCTGTACTAGTCACTGGGGAACTGGCATTTTACAGAGCGTAACACAATTTATGTGCATGTTGCTTATAAAGTCAGTCAATGTTGCATGGCTAATATCTGAAGGAGAAACATGTTGCTAAATATAGTATTCCGGAGTATGTTTAACTGTGCTCTTTTTTTGCTCACCAAATTAAAAGACAAGCAGCTGTATGGGTTGGGTTGGGTTGGGTTGGGTTCAGTGAGTCATTAGCAGAAGGCATTTACTGCCAAGTGTTTTCCCCACCTTTCTCTAGCTTAGCAATTTCAGAGACATCTGAAAAAGCCAATACTGGAGGTCACAGGACCTATTTGGGGTTCCCTGTGAAGAGGAGGGGAGGCACCTTGCTCGTGCCCTGGCACTATTGCATTAACTGAAGTGCCTCTGGCAGAAGAGGAGGACGAGGCAATTTTGCTCATCTCCAGCCCTCCTCTCTATCATGTTTTTTACCCATTTGGTTTCTGTGATTAGTTTTTTTCAGAGGAGTTAAGGTTGCTGGGAAATGAGAGATGGCAGGAAAGATCTGTTTCCACAAAACACCTGTGTGTTTTGTTGGATCCATCCCTTAATCGTTTCATCTCTAAGATGCATAAGAACCATATCTGTGAATATATGCATATGCTATATTCCTCTGTTTATGGGCTTTTGCTTTAATACAGAACTTTTGTATTGTTAATACTGCTTTCTTTAACTTGTTTGACCATTATTTACTTTTCAGCAGTAAATGCTTTTTAGTCCTGAATGCTTATATTGTGTAGCATAACTTTAGAAGTTTTTTGCTATTGTGATCAATGCCCTTTTCTTGCATACTTGCAGAGCCTTATCACACTATACGTAAAGAAAAGGAAGTCTTAAATGGTAAGTTACCATGTTAACAATATCCAAACTTAAAAAAAAAAGTGGCATACAGTCATGTGATTCAGCATTAGAAAGGGGTCAGGAGTCAGGTGGCTCAATTTCCTAACCAGTTGCAAGGTCATCTGTTTCAAACTCTGTCTTCCTTTCCCAATCAAATGAAACCATGTAAGTCAAAGGCACAGGAAGTCTAAAGGTACACAGTGCCTAAAGGTATTTGCAGAACACCCTGCCTTGGGTAGCTCAAGCAAGAGAGCCAAGTCCCATGCTGCAGAACAGGAGAAGCATCCTAAGGATCTTACCCAAGGCTTCTTTAGCACTATAAGACTTTGACATTTGCTCCGATAGAATTATAACACAAACAGAAAACTGCAACTGGCAGGCTATAGATGTTAATTCATCTTTGTAAATCCTATTACCGCTCCTTTTTGCCTTAGAATCTAGTTGTAAAGATATCAGTAGAGGTCTTATATTTTGTTGCTTTTTCAGAACAGTGTTCTTGATTTCTCACTCATTTCTTCCTGTTTTTTTTATTGTTTTCCTTCACTATCAGTCATATATAGAGATTACTGTTCTACTCAGGATTACCGTTCTACTCAGGAAGTGACAGATTTTTCTATAAGTAGCATGGCTCAGAACAATTGAAAAGATAGATCTAGGAGTGTGCAGGGAAAAACTTCGTTTTTTTCCAGTTTCAGGTATAATAAAGCTGATTTTTTTCAGTATTCCTGAATATATCTGAATACCAATACTGGCATTGTATTGGTACCCAAAAACATTCTGTATTCCCGAAAACATTTGGCTCCATTATATCCTATGGGGCCATTGTAGTCAATGGCAAAAATCTTCTAGTGAGTATTCAGGGGGCTGGGGGGGGGAGGGGGTTTGAGGTAGAGGCACCAAATTTGTACTGTAGCTGATGGAGCCTCTCCCCAAAAGAACCCCCAAGTTTGGAAAAGATTTGACCTGGGGGTCCAATTCTAGGGGAATCTAGGGGAATCCACTCCCCCCTGAAACCAAAAAGGCCCCTGAGGCCCTCAGATGAACCAGAAACAACTAGAAAGAGAGGCCTGAGAGAGCCTGCCTAAACCGCAGCCAGAAGGCCTAAACCGCAGCCAGAAGGCCCAACCAACAATCCCAGAAATATAAATTACAGTAAAAAAATTAAATATTTTAAACTGCAACAGTCTGACAACAAAACCATAAACTATTAAGAACCAAAATAATAATAACAATAACCAGGAAAAGGAATAAGACACCCTAGGGCCCAGAGGCCTACCCACCACCACCAATCCCAGGCCTGAAACCCACCAACCCACAACAAAATAAGAAAAGTTTTTTAAAAGCGGTCCTAATAATAATTATTTATTTATTTGTACTGATTTCTATCCCGCCCATTCCAGCCTAGGCTGGCTCGGGGCGGCTCACAACAGAATAAAATTTACATGAGATAAAACACAGTTCGTCACATTAAAAAATAATACAATAATATAAAACAGTATTAAAATCAACAATATTAAAGTGCTAGCATTTCCAATTTTACCTAAGATTCTATTGGTCTGCTTCAGTTGTAGAAGGAAGGGGAGGGACTGGGCCAGGCAGTTGTCACAGGGACCTATGGCTCAGGACTTCCACCATGACAATCAGTTGTTAGTAGTAACACCACCAGTAGATGTAGTTGTAATAATGGTGATAGTGGTGGTGGGGTAGCAGCTCCAAAAACCTGGTGGAAGAGCTCCGTTTTGCAGGCCCTGTGGAACTGTAAAAGGTCCCGCAGGGCCCTGGTCTCCTCTGGGAGCTCATTCCACCAAAGTGGAGCCACCACCGAAAAGGCCCTGGCCCTGGTTGTTGCTAATCTGGTCTCCTTGATGCTTGGGAGCCGGTTCTGGGACCCTGAACGCAGTGCTTTTTTTCTTCAGTCTTCTTCTGTTGTCCAGCAGGCAGGATGGATGGATCTTAATCCAAAGTAGTCCAAGTCAGCAGCAGGAAAGCAGGCTCAGAGCATTGACTAAAGGAGAAGCCAGCCACACAATCTCCAACCCAGGTTGTTTCTCAGCAGCAGAAACAGGAATGGAGTCAGCCAACCAGAGACCCCTGCTTTTATGCTCTCTGGGCATACACAGAAAGATTTCAAAAAGGAACAAACTTCTGTGATTGGCCAAAGAGCAGTATGCCAAAGAGCAGTATGCCAAATCTTATTGGCCAGTGCGCCTCCCCTGGGAAAGCAGCAAGCTAGTAGTTGGGTTTCAACAAATGAAGCCAGCAGCAACAACAGCCTTGCAAGCTGCAATGGTATTTGCTAATGCATTACAGATGTTGGCTGTCTGTAAGGTCCCTCTTCCCCCTTCCTCCTGGAAAGCAGAGCAAAGGGTGGGAAAGAGGCAAAAACGGTGGGGAAAAGGTTAGAGGAGCCCTTTAAAGTTTAAAGGCCCCCCCCGAGCCTGTATTCAGCAATGCTAAAGAAACCCGAATCCTTTCGGGGGGGTTTGGCATTCACTATTCAGCAGCCAAATCAGATCAGGGAATCTGATTCGGTATGCTGAATACCCGACAAATGCCGAAAAGGCATTTTTCGGGGGTTTTTTTGGTTTGGCTTTATCGAATGCACACCTCTAGATAGATCCCATAAAGCATGTATGAATATGCTAATCCAGTGTTAGTTATTCATAACTAAAGTGAGGTCTGAGTGAAAACTTGGGTAGGCAATCCGCTGGCTTGAAAGTCTTTAATCTACTATCTTTGTCCAAGAAGCTCACTCAGATCAGGAAGAAGAATCTGAATTTCACCACAGCTTTCCATGTTAACAAGGAGATGGAACCAAGACCAGCTTCTAAATATAAGTTGGAATTTGAAATACAATTAGATGCCTGAAAGATGTCGTGGAGAAACTTTAACTATTGAGATTCAATTCTAGAGGAAAGAGCAGGAAACCAAATTGGAGTTTCATAAAGCAGAAAATATCTGATTTTTGCTTCATAGACTTCCAAAGCAAAAGGTAGGAATTGCCCTCCAAAATGGTAGAAGAATCTCTTAAATGCAGCTAAGTATACTTTAGTAGACTCAAAAAGACAAAAATAATGAAATTTCCACTTATTGGAAGAGGCAAAATGAAGGCCTAAGTAGTTGAAATTTGACATTTGCTCAATCATCTGCTCATATAGGAAAGCAAATTATAATGAAGTATGAAACAAAAGTATGAAACAAAAGTTTGGAGAAGACGGTCCTAATCCTACCCTTGAGCAAGAAAGAAGAACTGCATCATCTGCATAAAGTAGAAGTGGTATAGAGTGAGCACCCAAACTAGGAACATGGGAATAGTTATCTTGTCATTTGTTTGGTAAATCATATGTGTAGAGATTAAATAAATATTGAGCCAAAATACATCCCTGTACAGGCCTTTTGTAACTGGGCCTGTGATATCTTATTCTCATGGAAGCTGAAGTTTGTAAAGAAATTATCAGGTGCAATAATTGTTTAGGAATTCCCAGTTGGTTTAATTTGATCCAAAGCCTTGTGTGAGAGATGTTATAAAAGGCCACTCTAAGATCCATGAAAACAGTAAACAATTACCCCATGCGATATGATGAATATTCACAAATTCTAACTCCAGCTACGAAGTTTTAGTTGTAGATGGGCTGCATACAGCTTTCTTGGTATATAGATAACAGACTGATTGGTCTATAATTGGCTGAAGAATGAAGTGATCTTTTCTTATATGTGGGAGCAACAAATGCTTGCCATTTTAAAGGAATTTTGGCAGGTGGAGTCCACCAATCACAGTATGTTTTAAAAAGTTCTGTGGAAATCCCATCAGGGCCAGGGGTCTTACCAAACTTTAATCCTTTTATTAAGGAAAAGATTTCTTCTAATTCGACTGGTGAGCATTTGGGGGGGGAAATCTGAAATTGGAGTAAAAGATGAAAGTGTAGTGGGTTCTTTCTCAATTAAAAGGGTTGCAAAATAGCTTCTCCAAAGATTTATTGGAATGTGCAGAGTTTTCCCTATTGGAAAAGGTTTTTAACTTCTGTTTACCACTCGTCTAAAGGTTTTACTATCACAATAATGTGAATCACACAGCAATTTTCACCAAGTTAGAGTGGAATACAGTTTTTTTTCCTTTTACGAACATATTGGCAATATTGTTTTTTTGTAAACTAGGCACTGCAATAGAAATTCCTGAGAATTTAATCTTAGAAACTTAGATAAATACAATCCTTTAGCATGCTTTAAGTTATGGCAAATAGCATTAAACAAAGGAGGGACAAGTTTATATTTTTTCTTTGTTTTTGTAATCATACAAAAAGGGACTAAAAGAGATATAAGTTGTTTATAGGATTGAATCACCTTTTCAGGCAGGTCCTTTATAATAATTTCTCTTAAGTCTCCAAGAATTTCCTGGCTCTGTGGGGGATGTTATTAGAGCTCAGAGTAATATTTCTCACAGAGTTATTCACAGAGGATGAAGCAACATTCCCTAGCCTCAATTCTAAAAGCAAGGGAGTGTGATTGGATGTATACCCCGTCCTTCACTCAGAATCTCAGAACGGCTTACAAACTCGTTTCCCTTCCCCTCCCCACAACAGACACCCTCTGATGTAGGTGGGCTGAGAGAGCTTTTTCCAGAGCTGTCCTTGAGAGAACAGCTCTGACAGAACTATGGCTTGCCCAAGGTCATCCAGCAGCTGCAAGTAGATGAGTGGGGAATCAAACCCAGTTCTCCCAGATTAGAGTCCATGCACTTAACCACTACACCAAATTGGTAACCAAGAGAAAATGTAGAAATCAGGTCTGTAATATTAGAGGATACTAAAATAGTCAGTAATACTGCAGCCTCCTCTTCTTCGCTCTTCTGAGACATAAATAAAATCTCCTTTGCTATCAAAATTTTGGTTCCTATTAATAATCGTAAGTTTATCAAACATTGGCCACCAAAATTTAGCTTGTTCATTTTTAGCTTTCTATTGGCCAAGTATTACATCAGTTTTTCAGGGATCCCATCTCCAAAAAGGAACTTTTGTTAAACATTCTGTAGAGTTGCCTATACAGGCATTCTTATCTCTACAGACAATCCAGGGAATATCTGGGCAAATCTGTATTTGTAGACACAACTCAGTCAATTCCTGCCATTGGGCTGCTGTTCTAAATTAGAGGGCTGGGGATGTAAATAAACATTTATCACTATAAGTGTTAGTTAATACATTAAAAGTAGACCTGCTTAGGCCACTGTATTTTCTGTAATTAGAGGACTAACTTTCAATTGGGTATTTTCAACCAACAAACTAATCAGGCCCCCACTAGATCTACCCTTAGAAACATTTTTTGGCACTTATTGAATAAGAAGAATATCCTTTTAATAAATATTTTTAAAGGCCCACATTTCTTGGGCCAAAATAATATCAAAATTATTCAAGAAAGAGTACATAGAAGGGTTAGATTGTCTTCCAGCCCATCCAGCTATATTCTGTGAACGTAGACATAGATTGTGCCTCAGTCCTGAGCTACTAAAAAATTAGAAACTTTACCACATGCAGATATGTGGGAAAGCTCAACTTGAGAGGAATTTGATGGAACGAGAGGCGTAGGTATTTTAATAGGCTCCGCTGAGTTACTTTGAATTGAAAGGTCCACTAAAAACTAGACCAAGTCAATGGGCCTAACGGATTCAGTTTTTCTAAACCAATCAGTTGTTCTTCCCCTATTGGTGTCAAACTCAGTACCTCGTTTACCATGGGAAAAGTGTATTGCTGTAGACAACTGGGAGGGGGGGGGCTTCTGTGTGTGTGTCTGTGACTGGGGATGCTTTGCTATGCAGCTTTTTGAAGATGCCTCCCTGTCCCTGTCCAAATGACCTTGGATACTTTCTCTGCTGGCTCCGCTAATATAGATAACCTAATGGGTGCCTCACAGGTGGGGGAGAGAAATAGAAGGACATGAAAGCTGGCAGGCTGAATGCTTGGACTGATTGGATGGGACATGGCCGGGCTGATTTGAACTCTGTATATCTTTGGGCACTGGTGCCAAACCTTTAGTTCTGACATGAAGAAGTCTTAGCTTGAATCATCTTTACTACTCAGTAAACGTATCTCTACTGAGAGTGTTGTTGCGAGTAACTTTGTTCAAGAGTCTGACATAGTGTCAGAACTCCCATCCCCCTTCGACCGTCGCACCACCGTCGTGATGAGGGATGAAGGCGAGGAAGTTGGAAAGGGGACCGGGAAGTTGGAAAGGGGACCGGGATGCAAACCAACATCCCTGCCCATGACCTCACCACACCTAAAGATGAGAAGGATGCCCGACCAAGAGAGATGGAGCGGCATCAAAGGAGAAGGGAGCAAGGCTGAAGGAGTCATGCCAGGACTATGTGAGATGGGATGACCCTGACTGGTTGCGGACCCCAGGACTGCGAGCGTGGAGACACCAACCCAAGATAGACTGGAGGTGGGCTTTGAGATAATTCCATGATGACCCGGACTAACTGCAAGTGGCCGGAGCGATGATGGAGGAGCTGGAGGTCGAGTGGCTCAGGATGGAGTTCAGAGGGGAGTTAGATGAGCTGCAACGGGACACCCGGGCCGTTCTGGAAGACCTTCCCACGGCCATATGGGAGATATTACAACAAGAACTATAGGACTGGCCCGTTCCATGACCCGCTCCCCTGGAGGCCCCTCCCAACCTAGCGCTAGCGCCGCCACCTCCTTCAGTGCCCCAACTTGGACCAGACCCTGCTCCTGAACAGCTGTGAGATATTCTGGAAGCAACCTTCAACAGGACCCCAGAAAAACTGGCATCCTTTGTGCTACAGGTGCAAAAATTCCAGAGTAGGGCCACACCTTCGCATCTGATGAGCACTGTGTGGACTATATGGGGTCTCGGCTGCATGATCGGGTAGTGGACTGGTTCATGGGGTTGTATGACATTGGAGGCTCGGTGCTCCAAAATGTGGATGCCTTCATACAGGCCCTGCACAGGCAATATGAGGACCCGCTGGAGTTAGAGAGAGTGAGGACCTGACTGCAGGGCCTGAAGCAGGGGAGCCACTTGGTCTGAGAGTTTTTGGATGAGTCCAAGTCGTATGCCGCCAAATTCAGTGGTGGCCCGAAGAGGTTCTGATTGAGTTCTACCGCGCCAGGCTCAACCACACCATACTTAACAAAGCTCTGTTTCAAGATAACCCATTGACTCTGAATGGCTGGATTCAGGTGGCTTGTGAAGTTGAGAATCACTGCAACCTGTTGAAAATGTACCACACCAAGCCAGGGGTGAAATCCTTAGTGGGCGAGTCAAAGGGGAAACGAAGCCGGCCTCAAGGAGCTGGATGTGACTGCAGGCAGCGGATGTGACAGGGGCTGTGCCTGAGATGTGGAGGCATGGGGCACTTCGCCACTAACTGTCCCTTGGAAAAGAGCCCTGGTAGAGCGAAGAAGGGGGAGTGCCGGGGCCTGGAGAAGAAGAACAAGTCTCTCGGGAGTCACCCCAAGCCATCAAAATCTGTAGAGTCGGGAGAGTGAGAGGAGCTGGAGGGAACCTCATCTAGCAAGGTGGAACTGCACCAACTGGCAGGAAAAGACAAGGATCTGCTGTGAAGGGTGCTAAACAGCAGGTCCAAAAGTTATCCGCACTAGAATCGGTGAGAGCCCCCCCCCTTTTACCTGACTGTCAGTGTGGTTAACCCTGTGGTGAGTACCCACATCTGGGTGCAGGCCTTAATTGACGCTGGGTGATTAGCCCAACCTTAGTGACCAGCCTAGGGGCTAGGTTTTATGCACTAGACAAATCCCTAGTGTTCTCTAAAATGGATGAAACCCCCATGAAAGGGAACCTTGTCGATACTTCACAGCTCACCTGCTGGTAGGGGTGGCCTCCCACTGGGAGCTGTGGTCATTTGTCGTGAACCCTTCTGCTACGTTTCCAATGGTGTTGGGGAGTCCTTGGCTCCGGGCTCACGATCCCTATGTGCAATGGACTGCCAGAGCTTTGCATTTCCTGGGCCCCCATTGTAAATAGCACACCTGGAACTCAGAGTGTGGGGAAGCGCCCCACTCCACAGTGGAACGAGTGTGCCTGGCCAATGAACAACTGAATCTTATTACCCCCCCCCCGAGTACTGGGATTTGGCCAGGGTTTTTTGAGGAGGGAAAGGTGGATGAATTGCCCCGTCACCAAAAGACTAATTGTGCTATTGAGATACTGTCAGGTAATAAAATGCCCAAGTGAAAACTTTATTCCATGAGCCTGGCTGAGAAAACGGAGTTGCAAGGTTTTATTGATAAGTACCTGGCCAGAGGACTTATCTGGCTGGCGGCCTCCCTGTTTGCGGCTACAGTATTCTGGAAAAAGAAGGGTGGGGGGTTGAGGTTATGTACGGAGTATCGGGGGATAAATGCCGTGTCTCTGTAAAAGACCTACCCCCTCCTTTTGATTAAAGACCTACTGGCCAAGGTGGCCCAGGGGCGGATTTTTACTAAACCAGACTTGAAAGATGCTTATTTTCGGGTATGCATCAGAGAGGAAAATGAATACAAAACCATTTTTTTAACAGCCCACTGGGCCAGTTTGAATATCTGGTGATGCTGTTTGGATTGGTGGGGGCCCCAGGGGTGTTCATGAACTTGATTATCCAAGTATTGCACAAGCATTTGTATAAAGGGATGCTGGTTTTTCTGGATGATACCTTGATCTATCACATGTGAAGTTGGTGCAAGATGTGTTGAATGCCCTCTATGAGAACTACCTATTTGCAAAACTGTCTAAGTGTGAATTCCATAGGGAGTAGCTGGATTCCTTGGGTACTGCATTTCAGGGAAGGGCCTGGGCATGGATCCCTAAAAGGTACAGTATGTGGTGGGATGGGAAGCCCCTCAGACAAGAAGGCAATTACAATCGTTCTTGGGGTTCGCTAAATTTTTACCGGCCATTCATTCCCAACTTTGTCTTACGGACTTGTTGAAAACGAAAAAGAAAGGATCGGACTGTAAAAAGCCAGGCAGTAATTTGCAGTGGTCCTCTGAGTGTCAGCAGGCTTTTGACCAGCTGAAGGCTTTGTTCACCTCAGAGCCTATTTTACAACACCCCAATGAAAATAAACCATTTGTGGTCGAGGTGGATGCATCGGATGTGGCTATGGGGGGCATTTTGCAGATGGGGAAGGATGGGAACCTGACCCTCTGGCTTATGCGTCAAGGAAATTCTCAGCCACAGAGTGAAATTGGGTGGTTCTATGCGTAGTTAAGCTTGTCTGTCCCCTGAAACCTATTATCTGTGGGTCTGCATATGTGTAAGCAGATAGTACAAGCCAATGGCTTGAATCCCAGCTAATGTTCCCATAGGCACAAGGACTCTTTGCTTTCAGAGAGTGATTGTTCTACCTTGACCGTTCCACTGAAATTCACTGGAAATATTAAGATGGGTAGATGTCTGTAGCAGTATAAAAGAGCAAGAGTCCACACTTTTCTAGTGGAAAAATTGTTATTTCATGAGAAGTTGTCTTTGGCTCCTGGAGATGCTAGTTGGAATCCAACCTAATATGCGGCAGAATATGGACCAGTGAAGTTGCATGGTAGAAGCTGATATGTGACAATGGGTTCACTAGATACAGGCTGTGTCAAAATCACGGGCAGTTCAAATTTATGGAGATGGGTAATGTTCCCTTAAGTTGTTGGATTTCCCTTAAGTTGTTGAATTCCCAGTATCAGAATAACAGCATGAATCCGCTCATATGAGCTTTTAAAACATGACTGTTTTCTTTCAGTGTTTTCAACATTAACTCCCACAATTTCATTTTTGTAGGCATGTTTTCTAAACCTGAAGACTTGGATAACAATTCCAAAGAGCTAGTGCCCAGGTACTATTACATTTCTGCTTATTTTTTCTCCTGTCTATGTAGATCTCTTCATGTTTATAGGAACTCTGTAATATATGCATGTTATTTGGTTATTGATTTAAGATTTTGAATAACATACTTTCTGCAGGCAGTGTGAAGGAATGGAATCAGTCCCCCCCCCACTTTAGTGCTGCTTTATGGTCCCCAAATCCCTTACCAGTAGAATTTTATCTTTGTTTTGGGAGTTTCATGTTTATTCCATTCCTGTGTTAAAGATAAGCTCCTGTACTAGCCCTGAATAATGTCTGACAACACTTTGATGGTAAGGTGAGGATCTGTGGGTCAGTAGAAGAGCATCTGCTTGCATGCCGAAGGCACCTCCAGCTGAAAAGGATCAGGTAGAAGGTGATGTGAAAGACCTCAGCCTGAAATCCTGGAGAACTGATGCCAGTCAGAGTAGACCTGATAGACCAATTAATAAGCCAGCTTCATGTGTTCATGTGAGAACTATCACGAACTTGAGAGTGATATGACCCATTACTGAAGCTTGTTAGCTAATAGTTAAGTTGCAATTCAAGAACTTGTCAAGATCTTAACTGTCTTATTATGTAACAGGAATGGAATAGATACCTAAGATCTGGTGTTTTGCTCTGGGCATTAAGAAGATGCTCTGAAGGTAGGGGGATTGAAGACTGTCTGCTTGTCATGGACAGATCACTGTTTGCTCAGGTTTAAACTTACAGGGATACCAGAACTTTGCAGAGCGAGGGAGATGATCTGCCCGCATAGCCCGGTCAATCCGATTGGCTTTCAGATGGCATTAGGGGATTTTGCTGCTGATATGGACAGCAGCACTCCTGTTGATGCCCTGGTTGACCTTTGGAATGATGGAATGACCAAGGCAATTGACATGATTGCTCCTAAGTGCCTTGTCTCAGATTTAAGAGTTTGGGCAGCCACTTGGTTTAATGAGGAGTTGAGGGCAATGAAAAGGGAAATAGCTAGAGCAACAGTGGAAAAAGACTCACGCCTACTCTGTGGCAGTGATGGAGGCAAAGAAATAATACTTCTCCATTACCATTGCATGTGCACGAGTAAGCCCGCAGGGCTCTTCTGGGTGCTCAAGGGCCTATTGGGTTCTGGCCTTCAGGAGGAGGTACACTACTCTGCAACCTGCTGCAGTCATTTTACTCAACACTTTGTGGATAAAATCTATTGCATCTGTTCCAACTTGGACTCTACATCAGCACTTGATAGGATTGGATGGGCTCAGGGTGCCGATTTGTTTAGTTGAGTCTGAGGATGTTGATAGGATTTTTGAGTCTGAGGATGTTGATAGGATTTTTGGAATTTAGGGGTCTACTGCCTGCTTGTACAACCCTTGCCCCTTGCTGCTTAAATCTGCTGGGAAAAACACATAAGCAATCCTGTGATGTAAATATACCTAAAGATTTATATCACTTTCAAGACTTATAAAATTACAAAAAGTTTTATCAATTGCACAGTATTGTGAACAACAGGTTCAATATAGTTCTACATAATGAGTATCCGGTATAAACTCATTTCAACCATACAGTCTTCCTCAGATGTAATTTTATACTGAAGGGCGAGGTCAGCATCTTAATCCAGTTTAATGCAGTAAATTTCTTCATAGTATCCTGGAAAAACCAAGGTAAATGCAAATTCATAAGTAGCTGCATGGAAATTAATTGTTTCAAACCATAATACCTTAATGATTAGTTTCAAAACTTAGAAAACTTACTTCTGGATCATATCAAGTGTTTACAAGTGGAGCAAGCCCATAGGTTTCAAAAAAGCCTCCTGGATTTTGTTGGTGCTGCTCTCCTGAACACTGTTCAATTTCTTTTAGTAGTAGCCAACCAGTCTTTATTTCACCCAGGCTAGAAGCCCTTATTTTGTGGCTGGTATAAGGCTCTCTAAATATGCTGGGGCAGGGCTGGTGGACTGGGTCCAGAAAACAGTAAATGCCTCCCTAAAATAGGGGATAAGACAGCTGTGGCCCTTCCTGGTCAGAAAAGATCTTGCCACTGTTGTGCATGCCCTGGTTAACATCTAGATTAGATTACTGCAGTACACTTATATGGCTGACCTTAAAGACTGTTGGAACACTGCAGTCAGGGCCGTAGCCAGTGGTGGGGCTTTAGGGGCTGACATTGCACTGTGCTCCAGAGTCACTTGCCTCTACTGACTGGATTTGGGGTTCATTTCTATATTGCCTACCCTTATACAAATGACCACCACTTTCTATCAATTGCTACTCATACCTTCTAGTATAATTGAATGATCCAGTTTAGGCAAGCTTCTTCCTAATAGGCACAGAAAGGATTCCATATGGAAGCTGGTTTTTAAATGTGTAATTATTTTCAAAAGATTTATAGTTTTCTCAATACATTTCAGTTATGATTGGTTCCAGACAGACGGTACAGTCACTGTCGTCATATACACAAAACAAAAGGTAAATATATTTGGTAGAAAAGAATTGGAAAATGATAGGTTTTGTTTTTTTCTGTAAATTCCACAGTTTTAACAACTACTTTGAAATGGTTCCTATTTCCCCCCCCTCTGTAAGGATATTAGCCCTGAGTTGGTGATAGCTGATCTTCAGGAAGGTCGACTGCGAGGAGAGATCATTGTGAACGACTACTCATATCTTCTGCATTTTGGTAAGAGCTTTACTGGCAAATTCTCTGAGTGCAGAGGAATAAAAACTGTAGAAATACTATCCAGCTTCATTAAAATTGTACCAGTTTTCCCACTGCTTTCAATGATATGCTGTTGGTGCCAAAGCTCTGGTGTATCACGTTAACACAAAAGGGAGGGCCACAGCTGAGAGAGAGAGCTCCTGTTTTGCTTGTCCTGGATAAGGTCCCAGGTGCAATCCCTGGCATTTCCAAGTAAAAGGACCAGGCAGTAGGTGATGTAAAACATCTCTGTTTGTGAGACCTTGGAGAGTTGGTACCATTTTGAGTAGACAGTACTGACTTTGGTGGACCAAGGGTTTGATTCAGTGTAAGACAACTACATGTGTTCATTTGTTCAACATTCAAATAATGTTCCAAAGCCATTATATAGAATGTACACGTGGAGAGCCACATGTGCAGTAGGGAGTTTTTCCATGAACTGGTTTGCGTTTCTGGAGAAAGATGCCAACCGATCATTTTAAAAGCAGCTTCTCTCTCCAGGAACAGGACCCTTTGGAGCACCATTAAAGAACAGCATACTATCAGATTATCCTAAACTGGATATATTTTACTGACTGAAGGAAAGGGGGATGCCATTATATATTGCCTCAGACAGTAATTTCAGGAAACCATGAAATGGCCTGGCTTTGGATTCATACTGCATCTTTAAATTCTGGCTTAAATCTAGATGTCAAAATCTTTGAACTTTGTCACATAGCAAATTGTATGGGTTTTTCATTCTACGGAACCTGATAATTTAGTTATGCTATAGCTGCAGTGCAAAATCCCATGCAAAACATAGCTCTTCATTCTCATGGTCACATAACATTAAATGAGGATACTTTATTATTATTATTTTAGACAGATATGTGATATTTATTAAACTTGGATATATGTATATCTATTTTAGAGCTGAGTTATGCAGTTCAAGGGGACATTGTAGGTAAGTAAAATGCTTGTCTTCTCATAGCCAAAGACATACTTATACATACTAACTAAACTGAGTTAAAATGTTTTTGTTTCAATAAAATGAATACGCCATCACTGTTTCAAAAACTGTTTAAGATATAAAGAATCTTAACCTTTTGGGGTTATTTCTGACCTGCTACATCCTAATCACTACTTGTGAAATCCCCCCCCCCCAATAATTTTGCTTCATTAGATTGTTTGTCTTTGAGAATGCTTCAACTTATTTTAGAAAATCTGTCATCTCTCTCTCCAAGCAATTGATATATCCAAATCTTAACATTTATATGCTGATTTAGCAATTGTTATAATTACACAAAGTATTAACATCTGGTACCCGGTCCACTACATACTTATGCATGATTATATGAGATTTCATATGTACAAACAGAAGGACAAATTCAGTTGTTGTGGAATGAAAGATTTGTTATTGAAATACTCTGTAAACCTTAGAATTTAAATGCTTATTTAGAACCAGTTAGTTACTGGAGCTTTTGGATCTTATTTGCTACTTTATTAATTCTGACATATTAATTGAAGTTCTGTAAAGTTGTATACTGAAGCCTTCTTGTTTTATAATTAATTCCCCCTATTTTTATTATACTGAGTTAACAAAGATGTGCTTCAGCTCATGCAATGAGTTGTGCTCAGTGGAAGTTTTATACTTTAATATCTTTTGAACAGTAAACTCCCACACCATAAAAACAAATTACTTTTGAAAGTCCCTTCATTTCAATAGTAATTTATCATCCCCCATGAATATCTGTTGTTCAGGAGAAACAAATTGAAAGCTCTCTTGAGCCCATAAAACTAGTTTCACAGTTCTTTGGCTTCTGTTTCCTTGCAATCTGTCATCCTTGGAAAATATATATTTTCATTTTGGTTCTATACCATTTAAAATGGTTTCTTCAACATTCATCCAACTCTACTACTCTTAAATTAAGACAAAACTGAATGGATCTGGAGAAAATAAAGGTAGAATTAAACAGATCTTTCATATTTTAACTTTCTGAAGAAAGTACAAAACTGCAGTAGAAGGTCCACTGGTGGCTTCGCTGCACAATTTCAGTTCACTTGCATGAAATTTTCTGTGTCCCCCCCCCACTGTATTAAACTCAGTTGAGGTTGTCCATCTGTGCTTGTCTACTGCAGATGCTGTAATAATTGGGGGTGGGCATGAGTTTATTTATTGGATTTATATCCCACCCTCCCCACAAGCAGGCTCAGGGTGGCTCACAATTAGCAGCACCATGTGTCAAGATAAAACAGTTATACAATTAACTTAGATACAGTTGATACCAAAAAGTGCTCGTAGTGATATTCATTCTTCATTCAGTTAGAGATGGCATGCAAACAGAAGTAATACTAGGGCCCTGTTTTAACGATATTTCAGCCTCCCGCAATGCTGTATCTCGGTTTCCTGAAGAGCCAACCTACCACCACGCAGTTGGTGACATCAGTGGTGGGCAGTGTTGGTGTTGGTGATGGGCGATGGGCCTAGTTCAGTGATGGCGAACCTTTTAGAGACCGAGTGCCCAAACTGCAACCCAAACCCCACTTATTTATCACAAAGTGCCAACACGGCAATTTAACCTGAATACTGAGGTTTTACTTTAGGAAAAACAACTCATACATTAACTTAAGATGATCCAAACAAAGTAAGGAAAGCAATCCCAAATGCTTTCATTTACTTAAAATTATTTGGCAGAGAATTCGACACTTTAATGATGGTCTGGGCCTGGCTGGGGCAATGGCACGCGTGCCCACAGAGAGGGCTCTGAGTGCCACCTCTGGCACCCGTGCCATAGGTTCGCCACCACTGGCCTAGTTGAAGGACTGGCAGAAAGAGCTCCATCTTGCAGGCCCTGCGGAACTGTACTAGTTGCAAATATTGTGTTTATGTTAAGTGTAGAACAACAGTACATGTATTTTATAGTACAGGTCGCAGAAAAAGTGGGAAAGGTGGAGTTGATCCTGAAAAAGAAAGAGACTCTCCCTTGGAAAAAACTTGGGCAACCACTGCAGAGTCATAACTCTTTTGTCAAACAGGCTGACAGAGGTAATTTGCTTTGATCTCCTACCTAAGGCTGTTTTAAGAAGGTAGCCATGTTGGTCTGCTGTAGAACAGCTAGATTCAATTCCAATAGCACCTTGGAGACCAACAATATATTCGGGTTATGAGGTTTTCAGAGCGAGCTTTGACTCTCAGGAGCTTATACCTCAGGTGCTAATGGGCTCAAATCTAGTTGTACTCCATAAGGCTAGTTCTCTCCCTCCCCCCCAATTCTGATTTAGGAAACAAAATCAAATTGCTGTTCACTGTTTGCAACTGTGATCTAATGGAAGCAGTTATGTGTTAACTATGTGTGATTTGATGCTTCTGGGTTTCCATGGTACTGGTGAGATGTGTTTACCTGTATATTTCCTATATATTTTCCTTTCCTCCCAAGTGTCTGCAAAATTTTATGCTAAGGACTTCTCAGTTCTTTTAGAGTTTGGAAATAAAAAACTGTGAATTGAGCAGAAGCCTTCACTTTCAATAATAAAATAATCAAAGAATGGATTCTGTGAACCAGATATGAGGTGGCGCATAAGTTGATGTTTCCTTATTATTATCTGCGCTACCCCCAGCAGAGATCAGAATAGTAAAGCATAGCAAATTGTTTACTGTATCTTTAAGCATATAATGAATTCTGGGTACTGTAGTTCGGGTAACCTTAGCGTCAGTTGGTCAGAAGTAGCCTTCCTGATTGGTTCTGTATAGCCCCTTTTTCCTGTAATAAACTAGCCTGAGAAAGTTGGATTATTGCCCCTTTCCTCCCATTGTTCTGTAAATCCATTGGCTATGGAGACAGGAGAGACTCATCTCCTTTTTACCACATGAATCACTCAATAGACTCTGGACTTTAAGACGCTTCTATCATCTAACTGAAAATGGGATGTGAGTCACCCAGAATATCTCCTTATATATAAATGTGTTTTGGAGTGGCCCTTTGCAGCTCTCCCATTGGCTGTAAAATGCACTCCCTCAGCCATAGGCCCATCAGCCGCCACTCAAGGGTACTCGCATGCCATTGGCCAGGTGCTGGGTTTGCTCCTTTTCCCCGCCCACTCCAGGGACGAGGGTGGGAGGCAAACAGCTGAGTTGCAAACTGGGGCCTATTTCACCACAGTAGGCAATCAAGCTTGGTTCAAACAAAGGAAGGAAACCCTTCACAGACTTTTGTGAGAAACTCATTGGGGCCAGTCCTGCCTAGGGTTGCCAGCTCCAGGTAGCGAGATTCCTGGAGATTTTCTGGTAGAGTCTATGGAAGCCAGGGTTTGGGGAGGGGAGAGGCCTCAGCTGAACAGAATGCCATAAACCACCTTCCAAAGCAGTTATTTTCTCTGGGGGAGAGAGATCTGGAATTCAGTTGTAATACCTGGTGATCTTTAATCTGTTGATCACTCAGAGTTACAACTGTTCCCCAGGAGGGAGGGAGGAGGGTAATGGAAAGCTGAAATCAGAGGGGCAGATAATGGCAGGTTAATGCTTAGCTGGGAAGGAGATAGGGTTGCCAACTCTAGGTTGGGTATTCCTGGAGATTTGAGGGATGGAACCTGGAGAGGGTGAGGTTTGAGGAGGGGTGGCACCTCAGACAGGTACAATGCCATAGACTCCACCCTCCCAACCAGCCATTTTCTTCTGGGGAACCATTCTTGCCAATCTCCAGGTGAGGGGTAGAGATCACTCAGAATTACAACTGATCTCCAGGAAGGAGGGCAGAAGTCAGCTGCAGACAGAGGGGCAAATAATGGTAGGTTGATGGTTAGCTGGGAAGGGGAAGGGGTTGCTAACTCCAGTTTGGGAAATTCCTTGGGATTTCAGGAATGGAGCCTGGGGAAGGTGGGATTTGAGCAGGTCACCACAGCAAATTGGCACGGAATGCCCAAGGCCTTGGCACTCTCCCAGAGCCTCTTTCTAGTGCTCATTGTATTTATTTCCACAACGGGCCTTATTCTTAGTTCATTATATGTTTAAATATACAGCAAACATTTTTCTATGCTTTACTGTTCTGATCTCTGCTGGGGGCAGCACATTATCCCTGAAAAACTGATGCTAGGGATTGTGGAGGTATATGGGCAAAATTCCATAGGGTTGCTGCAGTGAGGAGACAGAAATGAGCAAAACTGTCTCCATCTCTGTCTTTCACCAGCATTGGTGGGGGGTGAGGGTGGTCATTTTTGCTCAGTTCTGCCTCTTCATTGTAGCCCACTCTCCCTGGGCCACATGTCATTTTATCCGAGACCCCCCAGCATCAGCTTGTTAAGAATCATAGGAGGCTGCTGGGGAAGAGGAAGATGGGGAATGATCAGCAGGTGATCATGGCTTGTAGAACCTAACCCCTTGTTCTTACATTAATGTTCATCGTTACAGTAGTACTGTTGTTGCTCTATTAATAAAATGGTTTAAGATCACTAATGGTACAGAAGTATGCTAGTAAAATATACGTGACAAGTGATGAAATGAGAATAAATATTTTACACAAACGTCAGATATAACTGTTAGGAATGTAAATATTTGAGCAGGATAAGTTGAATGAAATACTGTTTCTGCTTTTTTTAAGGCTTGTTCTTCAGAAAATGCAAATTGATATCAAAATCCAGTGTCAGCCATGACACTAGACTGTTGTGTGTAATGTTACCACCAGGAACTCATCTTCATGTTCCAGTTGGGTGCCACCTTTACCTCAAAAAAACAGTTACTGGTAATATATTGGAAATCTGTACCTTTTCTAACCCAATTCATTTTGTAATGTGAAAACACACAATAATGGATTAATTTCTTCTTAAATAAAAATCAGATTTATGTAGTTGCAGTTTGTATAGAAAAGAACCTCCAAAGGGTTGGCTTCTACATTATACAATACTCCATTAGAAAAGATCAAAATTATTGTAAAGCTATCTGTGAGAGAAAATGGCAAATAGACTTGGACTATTGAGCATCAAAGGGAAGCTGGCACTCCATTTTCACCAAGAGATGTGTGTCTTTGCTTTTTGTTAATCTAAGAATTCTGTTTTAAAACCTTATTTAGACGGGATTTAATTATTACCCAGATTTGTAATAGAGTAGATTGTGTGATCAGGTGATGTTTTTATTGTGAAGAAAAATCCTAAAGTAGAGAAGTCATAGAGAGTTATAGGAACAGTAGTTTTATGCCACCAGAGGATTCTTGGGTTGTCCTGATGGGAATATTATAAGGAACTTGTGTGTTATCTCCAAATGGCAGCAAGGATATTAGTGGCAACATTCTCGAGGATTTCTGATTGGATTTTCTTATTTGCTAAAGGTGATCTGAGCCCCTCTGTATTACTGCTTGACAAAGCCCAAATTGGTGTCTTTGGGAAAATGGTTCTTATAAGGGCTGTGGTATATAAAGTGTCCCTTGTGCTGTACTCTAATTTTATTTCGAAGAATTCTCTGATTATCAGAAGAGTCCTTTTGAAGGTGTAAGGTGGGAAGGGAGGTCCTCAAAAGCCTTGGTGGATCTGTGGAACACAGTTCCTTGGGTCATAGCCATTGTTATGAAATTTGAATTAGGATTGTGAGAGAAGCAAATTTTGTTGTTATAAGTATTGTTTTCCTATCAAATCTCTGTGCCCAGACAAGGTATATAATGAATTTGGGGAGCTTTATTAAATGTCTAAAGAATACATTGAATACATATAAAACAGCCAAAATTAAAACAGCAGTGTGTGTTCTACAAGTACCAGAATAAATGCAGTACTGTTGAAACTTAGTTCAGCCACTTATTACTTTTAGTTAATGAGGGAGGAATAAGAGACTACAATCAGTAGCATGACACAGTAGATGTATTCCTGGAAACAAATAAAATTTGCAAGAAGACTGTGGATTTTTTTGTTTGACCTTCTCTTGAACACATATAGGTTCGTATAAATGAGATCTTAGAGATGTGTAGGTAGCCCCAAGTCAATTTTATGCCATGGTCCTAAGGTGGCTTACTCAGGAGTAAGGTCATCTGTGTTCAGTGTCATTTGCTCCTAATTAAAATGGCATGTTCAATCTTCACCCCATTTTAAAGACTTGCTGTACCAGTAGGTAATTATATACAACAGAACATGCTGAATAAACACTGTGCAAGCTTAGCATTAGGGATGGGTACACACCCGAACACTGAGCCAAAATCTGGGCCGAACTTTGCCTTTTGGGGGGTTCGGACGGACCAGCTCGGTCATGTGTCCAGAAGCCCGAGCGTCCGATCTTCCCGCACCCAGCTCAGAAGCGTTCGGGCACTTTTGCCAGAGATACCCTAACTCCACAGTTTTGCACGGAAAAGTGGGTGTGGGTGGGATTTTTCAGCCATCAAGGGACCAATATCGGGCACCCAAGGCTGACAGGCATCTCTGATTTCCAATCAGAGACATCCATCCTTCTCCCTCGGAATGAGAGGGGGTGTGTATATATTCCCAGGCAGCAGCATGTGACTGTCCTTTGTTCCGTGTCACGGTCTCTTGCAGTGTAGTGCTCCCTTTGTGCGTGGAAAAATCTTGTGATGGGCCTGGGGTGGGGGGAAAATTTACTCTGGTTGCTGTGTGGGTGGTGGATGGAGAAACCTGCTGAATCTCCTGGCGACTATACCAGTCACTAGATGAAAAACATCTTCCCCTTCCCTTGCTGTTTTTCCCCTTTCTGAGTTTCTCCACTGCAATGCTTGGTCACCTCTCTTTTCTCTCTTCCATGTGAGGGGTGGGAAACTGGGGTTGAATTCTTTTGCTTTCACAATGCGTTTTTGGTTTGACTCTGGGGTTGCCTGTTTCCTTGACAGGTCAAACAGCGGAGTCACCCCACTCCTTCTGTGGGTTGTGCAAACGGCTGTTTTCTCTGCCTGCTGGCAGTGGCACTTGACTTTTCTGCTCATCTCAAAAGGACACCCGCTCTCCACTGGCCAGTTGGTGACCAACCATCCAACCACTCTGGTGTGTGTGTGTGAATTGGTGACTGCCCTTAGCACTGGCTGTGGTTTTCTTTCCCTTTCTGCATCCTGCACCCCTTCCTGCCTGAGTTTCTGAAGTCTCTTACTTCAGAGTCCTCTCTCTTTCCCCTGGCCAGTTGGCGACCAAGTCTCAGACCACCTTTGGGTGGGGTGGCGAAGTCCCCTCGGCACTGGCTGTGGGTCTTTTCCCCTTTCTGCACTCTGCACCCCTGCCTGCCTGAGTTGTTGAAGTCTCTCACCTCAGAGTTCTCTCTCTTGTTCTCTCTCTCTCTCTCGCCCCCCCTTGCCAATTGGTGACCAAGTCTCAAACCACCTTCTGGGGGGGGGGCAGGTGGCAAAGTCCCCTGGGCATAGGTTGTGGGTCTGTTCCCCTTTCTGCGCCCTGCCTCCCTGGGTTGGTCGAAGTCTCTCACCTCAGAGTTCTCCCTCTGCCCTGGAAAGTGGGCACCCCACTCTCTAACCACTTCTTGGGGGAGGTTTGCAGAATGCCCTTGGCACTAACTGTGGGGCTTGCATTTCTTCTCCTTTGAAAGAGCACCCCCCCCTTTTCCTTGGGTCGCTGCAGTCTCAGACTTGGGAGTTCCTTGTCTCCCTTGGCAAGTGGGCACCCCACTCCTGAAGCACTTTTTGGGGGAGCTAACTGTCCTTGGCACTGCCTGCGGGGCTTGTCTTTAGTGCCCCTGCCAAAATAAAGAAACCCTTCTCCCTGGGTGGGTCGAGTCTCTGCCTTTGGGGGCCCCCCCTCTGCCAACGAGGCTCCCAACCCACTGACCATCACAGCGTTTTCCCGTGACTCGAGCAGCCAGTCTTTCACCCCCACTACCTGGGTCTGACGTGGATGATTGCCCTGGATGGCCAACCCTTTTCTCTAGTGCAGGATGTGGGCTTCTGGGGGCTACTACGATGCGTGGCCCTATGGTACACCATCCCCTCTAGGAGGATCATGAGCCGATGTATGCTGCCCGCCATGTATCAGTCCGTGGTGCATCTGGTGAAAGCTGAGCTAGCCAAGGCACAAGGGCAAACTGTCCACCTGACGGCCAACCTTTGGAGTGGCCAGCACCACGGCTACCTCTTCCTCACCGCGCACTGGTGGCAACCCGAGGAGTTCCAGGGTGGGCAGGGAGGCCCGCTGCCCCAAGCGAGGATGGGCACGCTTCCGTCTGGCTACAAGGTGGTGCTTCTCCACACTCAAGGTATGGACGTGGAGCATATCTCCACAGCTATTCAGAGTAGCCTGAAGAGCTGGTTTGGGGGGAAACAGTGGCTATCTGGTGATGGACAGCAGGGTCACTGGAAAAACCAAACTCAGAAATCTCTGTATGGCGCACAAAATTCACCTGGTGGTGAAGGATGCCCTGGGGCTGGGGAGCAATGCCACGGCTGGGGAGGGCACCGCAGAGAACATTTCCCTGCTGGAGAACTGCCAATGCTTGGCGGGGCACTTCTCAAGAAGCATCAGGGCTGCATGGCCACTGAGAGAGAGGCAGGGTGAAGTGGACGAGCTGGAGCATGTCCTCCTCCAGGATATCGGCACCCTATGGAACCCCACCTATGCCACGATTGCCTCTTTGGTGGAGTCCAGGATGTCCTGTTCTCCGTGTCCATCCAGCGGGGGGAGGGTGAGCTGAGCATCAGCTCCAATGACTGGCTGACCCTGTCCCAGATGGTGCATGTCCTGAAACCGTTTCAGGATGCCACCACTGTGCTCTGTGCCCAGACGGCCAGCCTGGGGCAAGTCACCGCCTTCATTCACGGGTTAGATCAGGCAAAGGACTCTGTGCTGTAGCCAGGCCCCCGAGGGAACCAAGGTGCAGAGGTGGGAGATGATGAGGTGGTGGAGAAGGAGGATGACGAGGAGGGGGGGCAAGGAAGGAGAGGGGGAGGAGCAGGGAAAGCAGGAAGAAAGGGAGGTGGCAAATGGCGAGGAGGGCAAGGTCAAGAACTGGGCCCCAAGAACTGAGAGGAGACAGAATGAGAATCAGGTATTCTGGACGTCTGTCATGAGGTGGGAATTGCGGAGCACTGGTGAGCACAGGCATGCAATGGCAGAGGATTCTGCTGAGATGATGGTCTGCGAGTTCCTGGCCAAGCCCCCCGAGCCTGCCAACTTGGATCCTCTCAAGTACTGGGTGCACAAGGCCACCATATGGCCAGGTCTTGCCAGTGCGTCCACCAGTCTGCTCTCCTGTTCTCCCACTTGTGTCCAGAGCAAGCGGGTGTTCTCCAACCTGGAAGATATTCTTTGCCCACATCGATCCCAACTAGACCTGGTCAGGGTGGATGAGCTGTCCTTTCTGAAGGTCATTCTATCCTTGCTGGGTCCTTTCTCAAGGTCACTATCCTTGCTGGGCAACCCTGTTCTGGACGGGGTGGATTGAGACTGCGGTCTCTGATCTTCCCTCCTCATGTCCCCCCTTCCTTCTTCTCCTCTTCCTCTAAGGGTGATGCAGCCCACAGGGTGCGTCCATCAGCACCTGGGTGGGAGGAAGGCTGCCTCTGCCTGGACGGGTTGGCCTTGCCCCGGCTGTTCCCAAGCGGGGCCAAGTCTGGAGGTCTGGGACTCCCCAGCCCACCTGTCTGCCCTCCACAGCCAGGCATTTGGACCATGCTACTGAGTCCCTCCCAGGAGGACACACAGCTCCATGTCTCCTCCCTTGTGAGGGAGGGCGCTACCAGGCCAGCCCCAAATGGGCCCTGTCCTGGGGGCTGGGACTCTGCACCCCAGCTGTCCCTCCACAACAACCAGGCATTCAGACCATGCTACTGGGTCCCTCCCAGGATGGCTCACACTTCCATGTCTCCTCCCTGTGAGGAAAGGCACTACCAAGCTAGTCCCAAGCAGCGGCCCTGTCCTGGGACTCCCTACCCTACCCGTCTGCCCACCACAGCCAGGCATTCAGACCAGGCTACTAGGTCCCTCGCAGGAGGGTCCACACTTCCATGTCTCCTCCCCCGTGTGGGAGGGCCGTACTATGCTGGCCCCAAGTGGGGGCCCTGTCCAGGGCACTGGGACTCCCTACCCCGCCCATCCCTGTAAATATTTTGACTGGTTCTTACAATTTGTGTTATCTCAAAAACCTTCAGTTTTGGAAACTATCCATTTTCTCATTAGTTGCTTTACACGCATGTTATGATCTGCTCTCCTTAACTGAAATGTTTAAGACTTTCACATAATAGTAGCTCAACAGTTAATCTGATCACAATACACTGATGTTGATTCGGTCAGGCACCCCTTAACACCGCTTAAAAGCATTTTATTGATGGCATTGCCCAACCCCCTGAAAGTAGGGCTGCAGGACAAAAAAATTTAATGTTACCCAAAGAACATAATATCAAGCTGCACCTGTATCTGGCAGTTGAACTTTAAGTGAGAAGCTGAGGGGAAGTTTTAAAAAAATCAGAAATCACACTATTGCTTGAGCCCCTTTTCACGCAGCTGGAATCTGTGGCGGCTGTTTTCTCTAACTTCATTCACATAACCCTTTCAGAAGACTTCCTTCAAGAAAAGGACTTCCCTGCCACAAAACTATATCATGTAACATGATTCATGTTCACATAAGTCTATTTGTACAGTTCGGGATGAAACAGTTTACTTGGCAGAGATTGTGGGCTCGCAGGGACATTTAAACTTTCAAAGAACCTGGAAAGTAGTTAAGTCCTTGTGTCTACAAACTTTACACTGAAGTTCCACAAACTTGGCAAAGTTTGCATGGTGGTGTCTAGGTTCTCTTCACCAAAGCATCAGTTTTGATGAAATAGACAGAAGGTTTGGCCTCAACTTTTTTTTTTTTTTGGTCCCTCCAAAGGGGAATTTTTTATTTGCATTTCTATAAAACTACAACAGAAATTGGGAAGGGAAAATTCTACAATCTAAAGGAGAAAGTAAAAAGAACCTAACTAAAAACCCAAGTGTGGAGGTTTTACAATGCTTAAAACATAGTTATTACACTTATTCAGTTACTTT